GAAATATACATTCAGGAGGTTAGACATGACACTCTCAGTACACTAGACCAGTGTTTTCCAACCGGGGTGCCGTCTGTCGAGAGCAGGGGTGCCATGTAAAAAAAATAATTTTTAAAGATTTTTAAATTGCTAAAATGTTCAAAAAGCATCTATTGCACAATATCCATTTCTGATGTCGCCAATAATTAGAGATGCACCGAAATTCCGGCTGCCGAAAATTAGTTCACCCCTCAGGTTTCACTTTCACGTGGTGTGACGCTCTGTGACGCTCTGTGACATGGGCCGGGATCGCTCCTTGGCTCCACTCATATACCGTCCATGTTCATCGGAACAGCAAAGTCCACTCAAAAATTGAGCCGACAGGAAACATCTATGTAGTACAGTATTGTTTCTGTTTGCAATAGCCCTACTGTGCTGTAACATGGTGTGGTATCAACAACTCTGGTAACGCTGCCCTCTCATACATTGATCTGCTAACCGCTATGTTATGCTCACGTGTTCTGATAATAATAGCTTTCTAGGACTAAACATTATTTGGATATAATTGGTAAAAATAAATAAATAAATAACTAAATCTCTTAATAGCCCTACTGTTAGACCTACCTGAAAAACTAAAAAGCTATTTATTTAATTTGTATCATTATTTGTGCTATCATTAGTAATTGGTTTATTTGTTTACTGACTGCTTACTTGCCATTTTTTATTCAATTCAAAGTTTGAAATCAAGCTATCTTGTGCTACTGCAACAAAATTACCCCACTGTAAAATAAAAAAAACACTGAGTGAGCAAAAATTTGTGAGATCGCTAGTTATAATGGGAATTAAACAATGTTTATATATAAATAAAAGCCTACATGTTTTCAAAGTATCATATCGAAGTTAGAAATTCAAGTATTGTGACAAAATTAATTTTGTAGGGTGCCACAAATTTGTTAATTTCCAAATTTTCGCGGCTAAAAAAAGGTTGGGAAACACTGCACTAGACAGTAGATTTAACACTACTCTGCATTACTACTGCAATAAAACACAGAGAAAACAGTGTGTCTGGACCCAAGCTTTCACACACACGCAGAAACAGACTCATAACAGAGGTCTACAACAGTAAACACAGGGTAATGGCAGGTATTTTCGTTTTGTCAAAACTTTTCAGATTTGTTTCACACTGATGATCCTGCTTTAAGTACAAATACTCCCAGTACTCAGTGTCCCAAAAAAAGCAAATCCAATTGTAGAATCTCAAGACAATACACCTTAGTCAAGCAAGTCCAATGTTTAATTTTAGACAAAAATTTAAACGAGACTGTAAGGGATAGAAATACTGTGCTTGGACAACATGGTAATTGCTAATTGGTAATCTTTAAAAAAAAAAAAAAAAACTGTCATTAAAATTGAGAATTATGTGATCTAGGACCTTTATGTAGTGTGTACTGTACCATTGTAAAGACAAGACTGTCTATCCCTCACAGCCTCATTTTCATCTGTGTTAAATTCAGTACAGCATCTATCCTGACTAAGGTCTATGTCCAATATTAAAGGTAAAGTGTGTAATTCATTCCATGTTGAAATTAGGCACGCACAATTTACCACACAGGATATCATTCAATATTCAATATATTCAAGATTTTTTTAATTTATCGGTCAGTATTGGATATTCAAAAGTTAAATCTTCAAAAACACAAATACAAAAATAATTGTAGCAAATCTCAAAATTAATATCTATGTTTCACACACTGTTCATATTAACGTTGTGTTGCCTAAGGCCGCGTGTCCACCAAAGCGTTTTTAGCGAGCTGAAAACGCCAGGCGCTCTGCTAAAAACACACAGTTGTGAGCACAGCTCCCGTTGAGACGCTGTCGTTGCTATGATACGGAATATCTGCTGAAGTAAATGGCAGATGCATAATGAATTAAATGTTTCTACAAGCATTATTTTTCATAACAATATTATGGTAGTCCAGTAATTCCATATAGTAAAGACGTAAATACGAGGAGACAAGCAATATTAACTTCTCCTTTGTTGTTCAGCCGTAGTACGAGTAGGGTGTGATATTAGTCGTTATTAGTCTCGCCCCTCCTCCACTGTGATTGGTTAGCTGACTGAAAAGTGACAGTGATGAGCGCAGCGTTTTACCCAAAGTTGAACATTCTTCAACTCTCGACGCCAACAGCATGATAAAGGCGCTCAGTGCTTGGCACACTCCTGCCGTTTTAACACGCGTGGCCTTTTAGTCCGCTTTAAGCATTTTAAATGAATAATTTTTCATTTATTTAAGTTTAAAAATTAGCCTTTTACCTGTGATAAAATTAAAATAATGATAAGCCCATCAGTATCGGAGAAGGATTTTAATATACATTTATCCCTAGTTAAAACAGCAAGACATAACTTTAGCTGAACTAATGGCCTGAGTTACAGCCAGGGCTATCGGTTTGTTCAATCAACTGAAGATCAGGGGATGGTTCTGGAAACTGCTCCATGAAAGCAGTCATAGTTTTGCCAAAAGCATTTGGTGTTAAATAGAGGCAAAGAAATTAGCTACATACTTCACCTTTAAAGGGGTCATATGATGTTGCTTTTTTTCCCCGAGGTCTCCAGCAGGCCTGCCCACTCCCATCGGTGTGGGCTTCACACTGTGATCTTTGCCTCCAAACTGAGAACCGTGCCACCTCCGCTTACCAACCGCCACACAGATAAGGCCCTTTTTGCAACCACCCCAGCCTGGCCTGGCTAGCGCTCTGACGTACCCAAAGCAAAGAGACACATAGGGACGGAGGAGGAGTTGAAGATGGAGTAGGTGGTAGGGTGAAGCTGGGAGTTGTTAGACAGGGTACAAGTGGATTAGGCTGACACTCTGCCAAGGTCCCGCCCTGCCCTGCCACGAGCCAGCCTGAAGCACTGCAGTGATTACAAAAAGACAACACATTGTGCCGCACACCAAGGTCTGTGGATAAAGTAAAACCGGCAAAAGCATCAATAAATAATGCATTTCAAAACAGGTTTCTTGCTTTCATTCAAACTGGTACAGTGTAGGTCATGGGCCTGATCGGACATGCAGGATTATTGATTGCTCAGTGCTGGGAAGTGCTTGCACTGACGAACAGGATACTTTTCAAACATGGTAAATGTGGCGGCAGGAGGCATGGCGTGCTCCAAAACCAAGGTTAAAACCAGCCAGATGCTTTTTCAAAACTGAAAAACAGCAAAGATGAGAGCTGGGCTCTGGGCCGACAGAGCTGGTTACTGTCTTACTGACTGCATTTTTACATGTGCTTGTGAAAAGAGTGCAATCGGCCCTTGCTAGAGCCTCTTAAATTATTAAAGTCAAATGTATGGCCTCTATTTCATCTCCTTCAAACTATAGTGACTATGACGCATCGCAGGCTGCATTGGAGTAATGTACTCTTTCCCAACCTAATTTTCCTCCAGTATCAACAAGTCAATGGCACGAGGAAGTAAAATTGTTCAAATGCTGATATTTCAATCAGTCAACACTATTTCTGGTCAGCCTTTTGACTGCAAATCAAACTCAAATACATGCAAGCAGTCTGATTCTTAACAAGGAAGGTCACTGGAAGCATGACATTTTATCCAGGATGCAGACAGACAAACATGAGAGACAGAGAGCAAGTCTGATCAATATCCATCAGACTCAGAGCAGACGCCCTTACACATCAAAAAAAACAAATTAAACAAATATATGAAAGAAAGTCCCTGCCATACCCAAATACTGCAGGTGAAGCACATCGGAGCAAGCAACTTGCTGATGCCGATTCATATTCCGGTCACTTCAGTCTTTCCCTTTCGAAGTGCGAGACCAATGCCATGCCTGAAAGACTGATTAAACCACGAACCAATAGCATTCGAGCGCAAACTGTGAATGTACATTTCATTGGTCGGAGCTACTGAACGAACACGCCCCTCAATGAACGGTGTTTTGTATCTGAACGAGACTCGGAGCTACATACAACGCGAATTTTATAATGGATGTATTTCGTATATAGCTAGATAAAAATATAAATATCATTTGTCAAAATGGAGGGAAAATATAGATGTGTTTTATTGTCATTTGTAGAGATGCATAAACACTAATTCTGGAGTCAAATTCAGTACATTTGTATGCATGACATTTTACGCAAATGTTGCTTGTGAACAGTCGGTGTTTTATAACGAATCGGTTGAGTGAATGATTCAGTGATTCACTTACAATACACAAAAGCACGAGTTAACTCCATCTACTGATCCCACTGATCTATATAGAGATTATTATACAGATCATTATACAAATCAGTTCGTAACCTGCAGAAAGAGTCACAAGAGAATCAAAAGCATCGAATCACCGGAATGAATCTTTTTAGTTGAGGACTCAAAAGACTCGAAACATTGAGAAGAATCAAAATTCAATCCACCACCACCACCTGTAGTTATTTAAAGGCATATGAGCTACTGACATTTATTTGCGAATTATGTTAATATGACTAAAAACTAATTTGACATGGAAACACAGCAGTGTTTGGTTACAAACCTGGCCTACTTCTTATGACCAAATAAAACACAAATAATAAAACGTTACATAATATAATAATTACACACTTCATAATTACACACACACCTTCAAGCTTTCACTTTTTCCCCCCAATAACTCATTCTCGATATTAAGGAGGGGAAGAAGTCAATAAATACGTAACATACGTGAATAAATAATGAAAGCTGATGACGGTCCTAATATGAAATTAACTATATGAGTAAGTTAAATGTCCTATGGGATCATTTTGCATCTCACCTTTACAAATACCCACATATAAATATCAACTCCTGCCCACAGTCTTTGAAAGCAATTGTTGAAACAACTTATTTGCAAGTTGGAATCACGCAATGAAGCTCAATGCAATCTGCTTAAAGTGCTCTCGCAACAGTCGTCGAGCACGAGAAAGATTGTGCACGTCACGAAACTCAAGATAACAGGTACAGACCGACAAAGATCCGCGCTAAAAACGTGTCTTACCTTCAGCTCGGGTCCGGAGATCCGACATAGTTCTCTGAACGGGTGGCATCGGTCCACCTGTCAACTGAACGCTTAAAACTCAGCGTCGCGTTTCTCTCTTCCCCCGTCTAGGGATTTTAAGCGCCGGTGACCGTCACCAAAGTAGCTTTCCCCGACTCCCGTGACCGGTAACCATTTATTTAGTGTTAGGATTCATGTTGTTGATGAACACCGACAGTTCCGCCCTCAATAGCACGTCCCAGCATCAGCGCGAAGCTGAACGCCGAATCTCCCCAGCACGCGTAAGAATCGATAAGGCGGTTGAAACACTGAATGTGAGCGAGCTCTGCCGCTTCACAAATTGGACCATACCAACTAAGAGCGCAGAGGGGGGTCTAGTCGCAATATATCGCATTAATATATCGCATTTTTCACACTCTGAAAAAACATCAATTTCTTATAGAAACAGTATCTATTTAAGTCCAAATAACACCAGGTCTCAAGATATACAAAGTATGATTTACACTATGCTAAATAAAAACTAAACCAAAATATTTCCCCCTAATTTTCCCCTAGGTCTGCTGGAGATTCCCTCGCTGCAGTTACTCTCAGTTTCGAAGGGGATTGCTGAGACAAAAGACAGCCCACTGTTTCTTTATTTTAGACCCTGAAGCAATCACGACTCTGCAATTGCCTCTCATATTACCCTTCAGCCGGAAAACATTATGGCTTTGCTGATATGCTGAGGGTTTGCTCTCAACAAGCCACATGTTGATGGACGAATTCTCCATTCCTGTTTCACGTTCTTCCTCTTCTTCAGGCCAACTGCTATTAGTATTATTGATGTTATTATAATTAGACAAATGGATAAAATTAAATTAACAAACAAAGAACAGCACTCATATAATTACCATTTAATTGTTTCATAAACATATTGGCGTATTTTCCACCTTTATTATGTAACTGCCTAAAAGCCTGAGGCACACACATCCATTTTGCATATCGTTCATTGTATTGTAGGCTACTAATAATATAAGATCTATGAAATTGCAAGCCACAAATAATAACACGTCTTATTTCCAAAGCTATTTGGGGGTTTTCTCAATCTAGTCGGCATCCACCCGCCTGCACAGGGATTTTGGTCTATTGCTCCTGAGGTTGCCCAGCAACAGTGACAAGATGCCTGCCTCTTTGATTATGTGCACGGCGGTTTTATGTTTGAGCACATATCAGGCGAAATAATGACTCATCCTCTCAATATACACACAGACACGCGCTCTCTCATTCACAGACAGATAACAATAGATCAAGCTTTTTATATGAATTCTATATCAACACACATGAACGTCCAACCTGGTTACCACCCTCCATCTGTGCTGATCAGACGAACATTTGGCATAAACGCTGCATATAATGTAGCCTATCTAAAATGTGTATTAACACTGTAGTGTACATTTATATAAATTACATAAAATAAAACAAATGCAACTTCCCATTTCAAAATTTCTCTTTTTAAATTAATATTACACCTGAAAATTAATAGGCCGCCATTATGTACTTCCTCACATAAATTTATTGTGTGGCTTCAAAAGTCTTGGAGTCATGTGGACGACTCTTATTACTTATTACATACTTTTGTAATGCTTTTGCACCCTTTTTGAGTAAACGATAACAGAATATTCATTTTGGAGTGACATTTCTTCAGGCTAAACAGTCGGACAGTTGTGGGATCCTGTTTAGTTCATATGCACATTATTTATTTATTTGTATAAATATAAATCATGGTTTTTAGTATTTTATAGTAAATTATA